TCAGTGGTCTAGAGCATTTGTTGATCTTGCAGAGGACCTGGGTTTTGGTGGCTCACAACCATCCATAACTCCACTTGTAGGGAATCTGACTCCCTCTTCTGGCCTCCATGGGCTCTTGACACACAGATGGTACACACATACATACATGCAGGCAAAACATTCATACACATAAAACTCTTCTTGAAAAAAAAAAAGACTCACCAAAGTTAGTCATGTGACACATGCCTGTAGTACCAGCACTTGAGAGGCCAAAGCAGGATTGCTGTGAGTTCTAGGCTAGTCAAGGCTTTTCAGTGAGACCCTGTAATGTGTGTGTGTGTGTGTGTGTGTGTGTGTGTGTGTGTGTGTGTGTGTGTGTATGTACCAATAAGGATAAAACAAAAAAGCCCTTGTCAGAGGAGTCCTTTATGTGGCAGGAGACTAGGACAGGGAGCAGGGCACCAAAGACTGTCACAGGAAGCAATGGCAGAGGAAGATCAACCCCCACACCTTGAGCTGCATGTAATGAAACAGCACACGTAGAGAAACAGGAAAACTTGGATGCTATGTAAGCGTGGGCTCACCTTACTCCACGCTGGAGGTCATCACAGCCCCTACCTGCCTCAGCTCTTCAGCCTGCTTCCATTCTTGGCTTGATACTTGGCTCTATTTCTGGAACTATCCACATGGCTCTGGCCCAATTCTGGTTCTAGGATACAAGAACCTGGACACCTCAGCAGATGCCCTCTAGGCTCAGGCCCATGCTTATACATTAATTTATACAATAAGCTTGTTTCCTCTTTGCTTTTTGATTAAAGCAACACATTTCTGGGAAGTTGAGGCTTTATGATTGTGTACTACAAGCTGGGAATGTGGGGAGGTAAACGCCACATTCTGAAAGCTCTTGAGGGGAGCAGCCAGGCTTGTTCCGACCACAGCCAGCCTTCTGTGGCCAGCTGGGCTTTAACAATATGACCACAGCAACCAATTCTGTGCATTTAGAGAGTTTAGCCAGTGAAAATTTGAATTTAAATAAATTAAGTCAAGGACCTCATTTGCATAAACCTCATAACCAGTCCAAAGCAAGTAAAATCAGACAGGTTTTTGAAGATTGCAGTTTTAATTTCAAAATGTCTATTTCCAACGATACACGTTTCTTTGTATAATAACCAAAATTGTAATTTAGAAAGTTATTGCTGGGCTGGAGAGCTGGCTCCACGACTTAGAGCACTTGCTGCTCCTGCAGACAACCTGGTTCGGTTCCCAGTGCCCAGATATTCACAGGAGCTTTCTATTCAGGGAGCTGACACCTGGCTCACAGCTTGTTATTTCTTTCTTATTCATCATTTGGCTTTGTGTGCTTTCTCAAAACGGTCTATATTTAGTGTGGCTCCTTCCCTGAGAGAGATTGGGTGACATTCTGAGGATTGGAAACTTTTGCCGACTAGCACTGCCTTTAGCCTCTTAGGACAGAACACCACCGCTTTTTCCTGTTGTTGCTGTTGGGGATGGATGGCATGGATGTTGGGCGTCAGGCCTAGAGCCTTGCACCTGCTCGGCACATACCCTAATACTGAGCAACACTCCCAGGCCATTTTCTAGCTCATTTTTTTTGTTGTTGTTCTAAGTGCATGGTGTTGTGGCTGCCAATCTGTCTGTGAGTATGCCACATGTATGTCTGATACCCAGAAGTCAGTAAAGGATTCTGTTACAGATGGCTGTAAGCCAATGTGTGGATGCTGGGAATCGAACCCAGGTCCTCTGGAAGAGCAGCCAGTATTCTTGACCACTGAGCCCTCTCTCCAGCTAATTTTATAGTATTTTCAACTCTTAAAAATAGAACCAAAACCAAATACAAACAAAGCCTAGGTTAGAATGAGGAGACAGCTTTTAAAAGAAAAGCCTGTGTTAACTGAAGAAATGAAACTGTGTTGATGTAATTAAACTTGGAGTCAGACCGGAGAAGCAGGGAGCAGCCACAGCGGCTTCCTACCTCTGCAGTCCCTCCATTCAAAAGACGGGGCTCCTCTCACTGCCCCACCCCTCTACTTCCTGTTTCCTGTCTCCAGTCCTCATAACTTTGGTATGCTAGTCCCGCCCTCTGGCTCCAAGCAAGCTTTGTCAGAACACAATCAAAATATCACACAAGAAAAATCTCACCATGACAGAAGAAACTAAGTTCTGAATTTCATATTATCTATCAACTAGGGGATGGCATCATTGGAATTAAAGTTGTATATTTTTCATTTGTGATTGAGAAAATGCCATGTATGCGTCTGATACACATCTTTTATATCTGTAAATTTATTCAGTGGCCCCTAGAAATAACTTCTAAAGGTTTAAATTTCTGGGCACCACGTGCATGCAGCGCCTGGGGAGGCTAGGAGAGGGCTTCAGATGCCCCTGGCACGGGTTGCAGATGCTAGCATGTCCAGAATGGCTTTGTCACCCATGTGAAGACATACAGACTGCAGAATAACCTACTCTGCCAGAGAGCTTCTGAGGACTGTCTGGCGTGGAATACCAACACACCTGGGCTTGCTTGGGACACCACACCAGGGCTTCCCAACTCTGCCCATCCTCCTCGGCACCTGGCCAGTAGTCCTGACAATATCTTCACATCACTGCTTTTAAATTATTCTCTCGGGGAGCTTTGATAGAAGTATGTACTCACAGTGCTTCCGCCACTCTCAGTATTCCTCCAGACAGTTTCCTAAGTGCCCAAGGGTAGCCTCAGGGAGCACACTTCCCTAGGGAGACAATTAGGAACATCACCCATCCTCTGCTTTCGGATCATCTTCAGGAACACAGATGCACCTCCTGGAAAGAGCTAGCTGCCTCCTGTCCAGTGTCACAAAGCTGGCAACCTGCTACGTGTGAGGGCCAGAGGGTTGCTTGTAGCATATTATGATATGTTACAAATGTTTTATAATATACAGCTCAAATTGCTGTCACTCCAATAGGCTGGTAAAAGCCTTTTGGGATAAATGGGCTGAAGAAACGGCTTATTTAAACTTGGAAATTGTGCAATTGGAGACATTTCGTTTCCTTTGAAACAGACTCACACCTAGTTTTTCTAGTCTTCATTTAATCCTGGTTCACTGCCAACCTTATATTATTGGCTCTCTTTGGGACCTTAAAGCAGACATGGCTGGCTTATGGCTGGTGCAAAGCATCATGGGGAAAGCTGCAGAAGAGATGCTGCTGCCTGTCCAGTAGTAGAGGCAGTCCTGGAAGCCAGAGACTGTCATGAGGACAGGCAGAATAGGGCCAGAGAGCAAGGTGAACATTCTTGGATAATATATACTAAAAAAGAGTTGGCTAATATATACTAAAGGGGCCTGGAGAGAAGGCTCAGCTGATAAAGATCATTACTGCCATGCCCAGGAGCAAGCTAAGTTTGATCCCATGACCCACATGGTGGCAGCAGAAAACCAGCTCATCCTAACTTCTACATGTACAACATGGCATACACATATACAAACACAAATTCATTCATTCCAACGTCATTTAAAAGTCTTAAGAGACGACCCCTGGCAGGTCAGACTGCAATGCTCAGCTTCAGTGCTGTCTTAAAGATGGGTGATCCGGTAGAGGGCTTTTGCTCAGTAGCATGAAGCCCTGGGTTCCATCCCCAACACCAAATAAAACCAGGCATGGAGGCACACACCTGTAATCCTAATACCCAGAAGGTCCAAGCATCGGAAGTTGAAGGTCATCCTCAGAAGATGGGGGCCAGAGCCGGCTACATGAGACCTTGTCTTGAAAATGATTGTGTAAGACCCTGGGTTCTAGCTCCAGGGGATTCAACACCCTCTTCTGGCTCTGGGGACACTAGCATACACGATACACGTGGCACACACACATACAAAACATGCTTAATAAAAATCTTTAGAAAGCAAATGCTTTAATTGTCACCTCTTACAACACTAATTTCTGCTTTACAGGCAAGTTAATGACAGCTCTGACCCAAAGCTGTACTCTAGTGCCTCCTTGTGGATATGGTTGGTTTCAAGAATCGCTTGCTATGGAGAAACCTTGCAAGAAGAGGAACCCTGACCCTGCACTGTCTCCTTTGCTCCCATTGTATTCTCATCTCGCTCGACGCCACAGAATACACCAGGATCATTTCCCTGGAGTGCCTTCAGCTCAGCCTTCACCCCTCTCCTTTCTAATCTACATTCCCACTGTCTCCACTTACAGACTCTAAAAAGGCTCCAAGTAGAAGCTTGTCAGAGTTTGCACTGAATTCCCACTAAAAGAAGATCTGGAGTTGGTGTGTCCTCTTGCTAGTACACAGGAATCGAGTCAGGTTTGGCTCCGCTGCTTTTCCTGTGGGATCACACACATATATGGAGAGTGAGTGGGAAAATTTGGGCGGTGGCCGTCAGATGACAGCCACCTGGATTGAGTGCTCTGGGTTAGTCTGAAAATATGCTTCGCTCCCTTTCTACAAAGGCATATTTTTGCTGAGTTTAAAATTGTAGCTTAGGCTTGGCATGCTTTCTCAACACATGCTATATTTAGTGTAAGTCTTGCCCTGTGCAAGACTGGGATAGTATGGAGAATTTAAACTCCTGGCAGATAAGCCAGTTTTGCTTTCAGCCGCTTATTTATGACAGGAATTGCTATACAGGACGCAGCACTGTGGAAACTGGACACAGTGACACATGCCTGGAAGGTAAAGACAGATCAAAATTTAAAGGTCGCAGGGCAATGGCGGTACACACCTTTAATCCCAGCACTCGAGAGGCAGAGGCAGGCGGATCTCTGTGTGTTCAAGGCGAGCCTGGTCTACAGATCAAGTTGCAAGACAGCCAGAGCTACACACAGAGAAACCCCTGAATTGGAAAAAAATTTAAAAAGAGGATTTTTTTCAAGGTCACTGTTAGCTATAATCTGAGATACATAAGACCTGCCTCAAAAAATAAAACACAAAACGCTACTCAACCCTTTCAAACATTCCACTGGATTCTTTTATTGTTATGATGTCACTATAGGTTTAAAGTCTGCTGCTTTTCTAGGGCTGGCTGACTAAGTGCACGAGGTCCTGAGAGGCAGCTCCAGCACAGCAGGCTATTGGGGAGGGAGGAAGCACATCTGCCTCTGGCCTAGACTGTCTGCCCACACATTCAGAGGAAAGTTCCGTGACCTGGCAATCATCTGGAGGTCTGGGAGACTCTCGTGTCCGCTACGTTCTTCTCTTTGCAGACTCAACATGTCAGTAGTTCTTACCGTTCCCCTAGTGCAACTTTTTCCTCTGCCTGCCTCAATGCACGTGATTTCTCCTGACTTACATAGCTCGTTTTCTAAGCATATTAAATCTGTGCCTGTCTCTAGGCTGCTTCTTCAGAAGGGAACAGATCCTGGGCAGAGCAGTCCCCCACCCCAGCAAGAGACTAGTTGGGTATTGTTTTAGGGAGCTGTTTCCTGTTCAATCAGAAGCTGTACTTCTTCCCACAGGAAGTCTACCCAGTGCCGATGACATTCCCACTAAGATGAGGCCAGCCCATGCAGACCTGAACACAGAACCAGACAGGACATGTGCAAAGAAAAACTCCGTTTGCCCTTCTAGAGCAAAGGCCATGGTTCATTTTTGAACAACAGAGATGAAGCTTTCACAGGAAACTAGGCTGGTGCCTACTGTACACGGTTGACATTTATTTTACATAAAGAATATATTAAGTCCTCACAAAGCCAGGTTTTAAAAAAGGCATCTAATAAATTTATACAGTGAATAGTATGTCTTTATTCTATTTACAGTAAATTTGTTATAAATATAATACATTTTTGAAAAGCTTATTTTTAACTTGAGTAGATTTATATTTTAAACAGATCAACTTAATTGTTAAAGTTATATAATAAAGAATATGATTTAAAGACAAAAATCTTATGGTGAAATAGTATGACAGTAAGAGATGAGCGAGGGAATAAAGTCAAATTCCTTCCAAAACTATGTTCAAAGCATCAGAAAAGCTTTTCTTTTTACAGTTATGTATAAGCCATTGGGACACCAGACTGAAATGCGAATGCCCATAACCAAAGTTCAAAACTGATCTTACAGAACTGTATGAGGCAAGGCAGGAAAACTGTATTTAACACCCTAGGACTTCACAGTAAGAGCTGGGATCTGCAGACTAATGGCTTAATGGCAGTATTGCCAGCAAGGCCTCTCCCTCCTCAAAACCATCTCAGAGTCACAGCCCATCACACAAGTTGCAACCGCAGACCTCGACGTAAGACACGGCTTAATTAAGTGTATGGATGTGTTGAAATTCTGTATTATGGACATGTAAATTATTACCAGTTTAAAAAAAAAAAAAAGGAATTCTATTCTCAGCCCAGTGTACTATGTGTCAACTAAGTGCCAAGTCCCAATAATTTGCAGTGATCAAAGAACTTCCTTAACAAGAGGGTATTTCCAATGCTGCTGTAAAGCTAGCTCCACAGTCGGACTCATTCTGTGACTCTCAGCTGTCATGCATTATTGATGATAATCAGAGCAGGCATGGAGTTCTGCTGACTTGTTTCAAATACTGTAACCTGGTCCGATAACTTGGCGAATACCCTTGGAGTTCCAAGGTTATAAACGCCTGTATGAACAAAGCATGCTTTCAGTTGCAAACTGTGCGTCTCTTCACTTTTCAGCTGTAGTTTATACTGTGTCTGTCCAAGCCACGTGAATGATCCATGAGTTTCCAATGCCTCTGGACTAAAGGAGGAAGGAAACAGTAAGCTGTAAACTTCTTAAGTTTTTTTTTCTCTATAGCCTTACATCTTTCTTTCATCAAATCCTTTTATTTCTAGGGATTATTTATGAAATGAACTATTATTAATAACACTATTACTGTAATAATCAACCATGTGTTAGCCATTATTACTATTCTCTAGGAACAATGCTACAAGGAGGTTATTTCATTTAATGCCCATAATGGCATGTAGTAAACAATGGAGCCTGATTTGAAAATGAGCTCTTAACCTCTTTGTTATTCACATATAAGGAATAACTGTGTGTAAAAGAATGCCCATGATGTTAAACCTTGTAAAACTAGAAAGTGGGAACAATCCAGTGCCAAACAACACAGCACAACTCAATGTGTTTGTAACACACATACATATAGGCTACGTGCTTGGATTTTAAGGCACCATTTGGGGTTTTAACATGAAAACATTCAGGGTATGCTTCATGTGAGTTTTCTTTTGTGTTTCTGAAGATTTATTTCCTCATCTTTATGTGTATGGATACACCACCTACATGTGTGTAATTGAATGACGTGGTACCCGCAGAACCAGAAAGCGGTATACATCCTTTGGAACTGGAGCTACAGATGGATGTAAGCCACCACACAGGTTCTGGGAACCAAACAGAGATCCTTTACCAGAGTAGCAAGTAAGTGCTCTTGACCGTTGAACCATTCTCCAGCTGGAGATTTATTTCCTAACACAAGAAATGCCTGAGACAAGCCTGCTGGCTCTAGGAGTACTGGGTATGGCAGTGTAATCTACACTATTGTGCTAAGTATTATTTTTCAAGTCAGGGGGGAAACAAATCTAATGCTGCTTGAGTTAACTTTATCCATGGTAGGCAATGATCTGCATAATTTCAAAACCCTGAACTGCTGTAAATAACACTAAACTTAGGGCTACAAAATAACCTCCCACAAAATACATTCTTACCTTGTTGTTTTATGCCGGAGATCAACGATTACATCTACGTCAGCTTTAGAACAGTTAGAAAGTAAAAGGGTGACTGGCACTAAGCAAAGGCTGTGGAACAAAGACGACAAAACCATTAGTTATCCACTTTCTTAGAAACTAGCTTCTTAATATAACACAACAACATTTAACAGAACAAGTTTAAAACCAAACTCAAAAACAGTCACAAAATCACTCTAGGTAACTTATTTTGTAAATAAAATACATTAATACAATGTGTCCATAATTTACATCAGGTTGCACACTTTCTATATGGAATATTGTTAAGCAAAAGTGCCATCCCTAGATACAATCAGCTTAGGTTGTACTGGCGCTAGGCCCCAGAGAGCAAGTTTCTAGTCTGCAGCATCATTTAAATTATAAATGTGTAAGTCACAAGCCAAAGTGAAACCCCAGGAACTCACACTATTCTGGTCCCATCTAATCCTCACATCTGACTAAAATGCTACTAGAAAGAAGAGTTGCAGGCATCTGCACATGCCCATCTAGTCCTCAGACCCAATTGACATTACTGCCCACTGACTATGAGACCTTTCTGGAGCACTTTACCAACTGCCCCCTGTTGAGACGCTGCTTCCATCTTGGTCTTCCTGTTAGCTGCTCCTTTCCAGCCCTCTTCAGCTGTTCTTGTCTCCTTGTCTCACTGTGCACCATTTCTTTTCTGCCCCATCACATCCCTCTCCCAGCTTAAAAGGGTGACTTCCCCAAAAGTGTGAACATCAATTGTTACATAGACACAGGTTCTAAGGAAACTCTATTCCTTTTCAAGTGTCATCAGATTTAGAATCTTCTATTTTAAAAACTTAGCTTATAGGTTAAAGCTGTTTATACAAATTATAAATAAATGATTCCCTATGACATTTAGTACTTAAAAATTCTACAGAAGTTGTTAGTTTGCAAGATGACTCAGCTTGGACAAGTTTGACAGCCTGAGTTTGGATAACTGGGCTGCATATGGTAGAAGATAAGAACTAAGTCCTGAAGGATGTCCTTTGACCTCCACATGAAAGCCACAGAATGCACACGCACGCACACACACACACAATACAGATACACACATAAGTGCATTATAAATAGATGCAAAAAATCTTGAGGGGATGGCAGTCTAAATTTGAGTCCCACCGTTAGTCATGCTACAGCTCTGATTTGTGTCTAAAACAAAATGATACAATTCTCCCCCTGGGTTTTGACTTTATGAAAAACCTTACACTTCAAATAGAAAGCTTTTGACATCTCAGAAGTGCTGGGGCAACATCCATCCTCAGTAACACTGAAGGTGTGTGACGTGCATGCATATGCATGGGTGCTTGCATGATCTCTCCTCTCTCTCTCAGCTAAATCATTCAAGACTCAACAATATTTTATATTTCTTTTGGTGTGTAGGTTAATGCTGTTACCAAAATAATGTTCATTCTTTAAGAATGGGTGTCTGACACGTTGGTGGCGCACACCTTTAATCCCAGCACTCGGGAGGCAGAGGCAGGCGGATCTCTGTGAGTTTTGAGGCCAGCCTGGTCTACAGAGTGAGTTCCACGACAGCCTCCAAAACAATACAGAGAAACCCTGTCTCAAAAAACCAAAAAAAAAAAAAAAAAAAAAAACCCCAAAAAAAAAGGATGGGTATCTGTACAAGTACATAGGAACAATTTAACAAAAATAACTGATACCTTTTTTGGTGAAATGGATGATGAAATGATTCCGGGTAGTGAAGACTCGTTTTAATGAGATTAGAAAGCTGTTCTACTGATGGTCTTGTGGAAACTGTAGTGTTTTCTGGCCTGAAAAACTTTAATAGTTCCATTTCTGGTGGCTCCTGAGAATAGACAATAAAAATTACTAATGAAATGATGCTTTATAAAGGTTACAGTATATACAAACTTAAAAAAAAAGCGAAGACAACCTAATCATGAAGAGTAATTTTCTTTTTTGCTATTTTTAAAACTAGCAGTTACTGTCATTTGTAATATAACCTTAATTTCCCATCAATTCCACACATTAGCTCTGTTATCTTACATGATTACTTTAATACTTTCCTTATATCTAAATTTGGGCTTCATAGCCAGTCACTTCAATGGTTAATGTGATTCTCATTCAATAAAATTGTTTAGTACTTTGGTGGTAGATATTCAATTATCCACAGTTGTTTTAAACAGTTGAGGATTAAGAATTGACAAAAAAATTCCATTTTGAAAATATATTCATTCATTTCATAATTTGATTATTTCAAATGTATTACTCAAAGGTTAACATGTACTGGGGAGACAGAGCTTAGCTGGTACAGTGCTTACCTGGCATGAACTGGTTCAAGCCCCAGTACCCTATAAAACTAGGCACAGTGGTGTAAAAAGAAGCTTTTTCTATGAGTGGAGCCTTTCTGCCCGCCTGGTTCTAGATCCGCATCAGTCCCAAATAAACACACAGGAGGCTATATTAATTATGAAGCTGTTGGCCTTGCTTGTTTCTTACTGGCTAGCTCTGACTTAAGTAATTACCCCATAATTGTTAATCTAAGTATGTCTCTTACCAGAGAGGTTTCCGGGCTTCCTACCCTAATGGAGTTACATCTCGAACTCTCTTGTGTTTCTCCTTCCCAGAGTCCTTCTGGACTCCTAGTCCCTCCTATCTTGGTTCCCTATAGGCTCAACAGTACTTTATTGGCAAATGCACAGGACTTCCCCCAACACAGTGGCACCAAATAATCCCACGCTTTGTAATCCCAGCACTTGGGTGGTAGAAGCAAGACAATCAGTAATTCAAGGTCAACCTCAGTTATGCTGTGTAAGGCTCCTTAAATTGTTTTTTCTTAAAGAAGGAAAGTGAACAACAGCATAAAAATTACCTAACACTGATCATAAAGATGGTTCTACTTATTTCAAAGAGCCTAAAAAACCCAGCTGATTCTACTGCACTGTGCATGCAGTATTTGTGAGGACCAAAGGAGAAAACCAGCAACACTGTAACATACAAGCAATTGAACCCAGCATGCTCTCCTAAGCTGTGGACACTTCACACTCCGGGTACC